TTGTCAACATAAATTCCAACAATCCCCCACATGGATAAGAAGTCAAATCATCGTGACAAAAAATGTAGAAGAATATAAATGCAAAGTGTAATTTCCTCAACGAGAAACAACTGCATCGAGATAGGTGGAGTTACCTTTGAACCTTCTCTAGTGAAAACCTATCGGATATACTCGGTCAATCAGTGGTCTGGCCAACTTGAACCGTCGACCTTTAGTGTATACCTAGACAATAAGAGTCACACAATTGCTTCTCTAGCATTGTTGGTCCTTTGTTGTGCCCCTTTTGGCCGTGGGACACCTGTCTGGTTCTGCGAGTATTTTAGAGAATTGGCCTTTGAAAAATTCTCATAGAAGCGGCTCTCACTTCACACTCACATAGGTGATTTCTTGTGATGTAACTCACTATACATCATCTGAACACAACGGATTAAGAAATCATTAAAAGCCTAAATGCTTACCCTCATAAATACACTGTCTTGTCATAGGAATGAGTATGAGTTTAAAAGCTCCACAGTGTTTGAACAGTCGACCATCAATTAGTTGTCTCTTTGAACCTAGTTCGTGGGATCTCCACTCTTCTAGTTAGAGTTACCGCAATGCTTAACAAGTGATAGGCCTTAAACCCATTTCTTTCAACAAATTGTCAACCAATTCTCTAGGAATCCCTTTGGTTAACGGATCCGCTATGTTCTCTTTAGACTTAACATAGTCAATTGTAATGATTCCATTCGAGAGTATTTGTCTTACTGTATCATGTCTACGACGTATATGTCGAGAGAAAAGAAGAAAGATTAAAGAAAGAAGAAGAAAGATTAAAGAACAAAGAAGAAAGATTAAAGAAAGATAAAGAAAGATTAAAGAACGATAAAGAACGATGCAAACTCCCTGGCAACGGCACCAAATTTGATGTGAGCTGTCGAACTCACTCAAATTAATCAGGTTTGTAAAAATAAAGATTTGCAATAAAGTGGACAACCTGAATCGTCTCTCAAGGAATTTGCAAGGATCTTAATCGATCAATAAAAACAATAAGTAAAAGGGGGGGCGGGGGTTTGTGTGATTAAAAATAGAAAGTAAAAGCAAGGATTTAAAAACTGAAATTATCAATTAAAAGCAATCAACCCAAGAATTAAGATTTCAATATGTCCATCATTGGACAAAGGATTACCAAATCGTGGTTGACCCTAAGAAATTCGGAATCCCTGTAATGGCTTAGGAACCCTTCTCTAGACGATCGCCTAACGTTTGATCAATACGGCGCATCTACTCGCTCAATCGCGGAGTATCAGCCTGTTTGACTTAAGTTCATTAGGTTAATCAACCTAAACATTCAATCACTTACCCTGGCTGCAATCGCAGAACTCGAATCCGAGTTGAAGGAAGAGAAACGATTTGGATCAAGATGAAGCGCAGGTCCTCCGAATTCAACCGCAGAATCCTTAATTCTTGGATTGATTAAAGAAGGCTTAGCCTAGCATGGCTAAGTAGAAAATCATTATTGAAATTAAGAAAATAAAGAAGAACAATAGAGTAGAAGAGAGAAAACGTAAATTGCAATTGATTCTTGAAACTATAAAAACATAAACTCTCCAAACGAAAACTAAAACTAAAACTAAATAACAAGGTCTCCTAATCATGCCTTTATATAGTCTCTACAAGTCTGACCTATTATTAAAGGAAATAAAAGATAAATAACAGATTTGGGCCTCATAAAGATTGGGTTCCTAATTACAAACTTAAATCTAATTAACTAATTAAAACTGTAGCAACTCGTGACAAACTTGGGGTTACTTTTCGAACATCTTTTCGTCCGAATTGGGCTTCACTGAATGAAATAGATACTGTACCCTTTATATGAGCTGCAAAACGCAACAAGAATGAAGTCAATCAGACATCTGTAGAGTGAGATATGGATAAAATACAAAAGTAGTGTAAATTTGAAAAATTCTGACGAAAATCAATTAAACTCAATTAATATCTAGAATTCTAATTTGACCCAAAAGACATTTATTTAACTCATATAAATCCTAAAAATACTAACCAAGAGTAATAAATAAGTATAATAAATATCAATTATCAGTTACTTGGCAGGAGTGGACTTTTGGGTCTTTTAGGAGTATTGGGGGTCCAATTGTTAATCTATTACTACCGTTGTAGGATTAATATAATTAAGGAATATTTCCTTAATTCCCTCTTAGACGTTAGCCCTATTTAGACCTTCTAGAATGTGGGCCTTTGTCAGGTCCATAATAGTTGTCCCCAGCTCGACAATCTGGGTGTCTAGGATGCCGGGGTGCATACTATGTTAAGCTTTTGTTCTATCTGATAAGTATAGTTGGGTTGTTATGCATTTCTCTTGATCGTATTTGTGAATATTTTATTCTCAGTGTCTGGAAGTCGGCCATGTTCATGGTCCGAGCCTTGTTAGCCTTTGATATGTGGCGTATGTCTTCAACTATCTTGTTGTATAGATTTCTATAATACCCGACCGCTAAATTAGGAAATAAAATAATAAAGTGATGAGATTAAATAAATAGTCTCACAATTGACCTTAGATAATTATAGAAAGATCAGAATAATTAATGTAGAACTGTTTACCTGTAGAAAAGTGTAATTGTTGGGTACCGTGCGGTATAAATGCGTACCGAAAAAGTGACCCGAAAAAGGGAAATAAAAATATGAACATTCTTAGAAAAATATCTAAGCTAAGAATACAGAATTTTAGAGACAAACAAAGAACGGAGCTATGACAACTAATACTGATGTGTGATAAAAACGCGTACCGATGAAGTACCTCAGAAAAATAAAATAAAAATATGAAAATTTCTAGAAAAACATCTAGGTTAAGAATATAAAATTTTAGAGTTAAACGAAGAGCGGAACTAATTAAACTAATACTGCTAGTTTAACTTAAGGGTATGTTTGGTATGATGTATAAGGCCTGATAATATAAGCTTATAATATACATTATGACATTTTCAGTTGTTTGGAGTGACCATCGTATAGTATAAGCTTATACAGTATGATTGCTTAATACATCAAAATGATGTATAATCTAATCAGGGCTGGGGGCTAAGGATTAGACCTGATAAGAGTGTGATGTATTAGGTTAATTTCTCCATTCCCCATCTGCCCCTTCTCTTCCCATTGACGTTCACCTTTGAACTTTCTCAGAAACAACCAACTCGTTATCTTCTCCGTACAGTATGCTGTCGTAGGCAAGACGGCTTGGCCGCCTGAGGGAATAGAGGCATCTGGTTCAGGCTCCTCACGTTGACACAACACACTTCTCCTCCGCCCATTCCATTGCGATTCACTGGTTGTTCTTCATAGTTCGCAGCTCACGCTTCACGTGGTCACGGGAAACCCTTTCTCATTCTGATTCTTGAGCTTAAGCTATTGACAACTTCTCAGAAACCCTTTCATGTTCCCTTTGGGTCGTGCTTCACCTTCTATGTTCTCTGTAAGTCCTAATTTTCCCTCTCTCTTTTTATTTCCTTACATTTTTTAAATTAATTGTGACTTGGCCCTGGAAAATGGTTGTTTGTGCTTGCATCCATGTAAGAAATAAAGAAAGAAAGAAAGATTTTATTTTGATGAAAACCCAAATTTTGTAATCAATTAATTGCCATTGCAGGAGTCGAATGCTCCGAAGCCTAGGCACTTGGCTTGGCTTTGTTAGAGGGTGCTTTGCAAATTGCAATGCCAAACAGTAAGTAGAGTGCATGTTAATTTGACATTTTTTTTTGTCTTTTATTTGTTTCAAAATTACCAATTGTTTATTTATTTTCAGTCTGTTGAACTGCAAAATAGTCTTTTGTCTCCCTTGGCTTACCAAGGATGGAAACAGTGTATTGAGCCTCCAAAATCACCTTGTGAGTTCAAATTGTAAATTGAATTCTTATTTTTCTTTTATACATTGAACATTTATATCTCTTGACAATGAGGATTGTGTTGTCAGTGAGTGGTGCCTGAAGTTCAATTGTTCTAACTGCTAGGCTGAGAAACTGAATTGGATGAACAGAGACCCATCTTATAGAATCACACATCTTTCATATTTTTTTTTGTTTCTTCTTAAAATTGCTTTGAAAGTTTTTTTAAGGGGCTTATTAACACTACAAAGTCCTTTTGGGTTAGTGCTATCTATCTACCTTTTTGTCCACTTTTTTTTATTTTCTTTATGCCTACATTTTTGTTTGCTATTCTAGTTTAGCAGGCATTGTGCCGTGAATACATTAGATTGTCTCCACAGGTTAGTTGAGTCATACTTTTCTTTTTAGTGTTGTGACAAATTACTTTGCTTCATTTCCTTATAGTTAAAACTTTAGCGGTTTCCCCTTTCCATGAGATTAGCTACTGATATATTTTATTTTTTTTGGAAATACTGATATGGAATTTCAACTGCAGCAAAAATACACCGTTTGAAGCAAACAACTTTAACTAGTTTTCTCTTCTATTTTAAATTCAAATTTGGGCAACAGTTACAATACAAAAAGCTGCTTCTCTTGCACATGCAAAACCATGGAATTAAACTATTTGAAGCATCAACTTTGAATTAAAATCTATTGTCATACCATTTGTGCTTTGTGACCCAAACCAATACAAACCAATTCCTTTGCATGCACTGGTGGCAATAAAAGTATCGACACTGAATTTACCAAGAGTCTATCATTCAAGGGTTATCTTCACTTCACAAGGGTCATATGGATCCTAATGAAAGGTTTGATCCAATTCGATGGCTAAATGACCCAAATGGATGGCTTAATGATATAATTGAGCTCCTTGATATCATGTCAATGAGGTTGATGATGGAACAAGCCTTTTTGGAGATAGTCATTATATGTATTGTGTCTTACCTACGCATGTGTTGTGCTGTTCAAAGACGACATGAGAGATTATCACTAAGGCAATGAGCAATACCAAGGATAAGGGAAGAATCAAGGGTAGCATTCATAAGGAGGCTAATAAATGATGATGTTGCTTGTGTAGAACAACTCCAAATGAATACTTACACATTTCGAGTATTGTGTTCTCTTGTACGTGTTGAGGGCATGCTAAAGGAAGATGGGTTAGTATCAATAGAAGAACAGGTAGCTATGTTTTTACACATATTAGCTCACCATGCTAAAAATCGTGTCATCAAGTTTAAATTCCAACGGTCGGGGGAAACTGTTAGTAGATACTTCAATTTAGTTTTAAAGTCTGTGTTGAGGTTGCAAGAAAATTTATTGAAGGTACCGGATCCAGTTCCTGAGAATTGCACTGACGATAGGTGGAAATGGTTTAAGGTATGAATTATATTTTTTTTTCAATTTTGGATTGTTTGTACTTATTTCACGTGATAAATTAGTAGAGGTTGTTTACTTATCTATTATAGGGTTGTCTTGGAGCTTTAGATGGAACTTATATTACTGTTAATGTTCCTGAGGCTGACAAGCCAAGATGTAGAAGTCGAAAAGGTGAAATTGCCACAAATGTGTTAGGAGTGTGCTCACGAGACATGAAATTTGTATATGTGTTGCCGGGTTGGGAGGGTTCAGCTTCAGATGCTAGGGTATTGCGTGATGCAATTAATAGGAGAAATGGCCTTAAGGTTCCAACAGGTAAGAACATGCTCAAGCTAGAAATGTCATAGAAAGGACATTTGGGTTGTTGAAGATGCATTGGGCAATTCTTAGAAGTCCAAGTTTTTATCCTGTTAAGACTCACAACCGAATTATTATTGCTTGTTGCTTACTGCACAATTTGATCAGGAGGGAAATGGATACAAATCCTTTAGAGATAGAGCTAGGTAACATATCTATTGACGAGGAGGTGGATGAAGAGCTACATGATAGCATAGACACCATAGATACAAGTGAAGCGTGGAGTGCTTGGAGAGATGCATTGGCTAATGAAATGTACAATGATTGGGTTGCTCATTGAGCCCATAAGTGGTCTTTTTTTTTTTATCTTTTGTATTTAAATTTAAATTGTACCTTAAAGTTAAGCACTTTTATATTGGAAACTTCATGTCACTACTTTATGCTACTACTATGTGAATGAAATGACATGGTTTATGGTGTCATTATGTGAAACTTAACTAGAATTTAATCAGCATGATGAGGTATTTGTCCTAGCTGATATGTATTCAATATTTTTGGTTGTACGTCACTGTTGATCTTCAGTAGCTATTGCCTAATAACGTACAAATATTTAAATAGTGAGTGTTGTTTATGTCTTTTGTGATTGAAACCAGAGCATATATATATATATATATATATATATATATATATATATATATATATATATATATATATATATATATATATAGCAGTCATGATTTTTTTTTAAATATTGAAGATTTTTATTTTTACAAAAATTATTTTATTTTTTCGACATATTAATCGATAAAATTTATAAAAACTAATATTATATAACATATTTAAAAGAATTATATAAATTCTTTATTAAAGGGTATTTTTGTCAAAAATATTTATTTTTATCCTATCTAGTATTATACAGTGTATTACCAAACACTGGATAGTATTATCTTATACAATACATCATCTTATACAGTACCATGTCAAACGCTGAATAGTATTAAAATTTAATCAGGTCTTATACTATCAGGCATTATACTATCAGGTCTTATACTATCAGGTCTTATCCTATACAGTGCACCAAACAATGCCCTTAGTGACAATATTAATAGAAAAGGGAATCAAAACTCTAGGTTTTTTTTTTTAAGAAACTCAGCAGCTAATTGTGGCTTCCATTTGGGGGTCTTCTTGGGGACTTGGCTTTTTCTCTTGGAAAATCTCCAAATTTTTCATCTTTCTCCTCCTCTCTTCCATTAAAATATCACCCAACCATTAAAGCTCTAGTCTTGTTGAAGGAGAACCCATTGTTGAAGGACTTCGGTGCTTTCTCAACCTCTAAAACTTCCATTTTTTTCTGTTCTCAAAAGGATCTAAGATAAACTTAACTATCCCCTTTGTAAATCCATAAATTGGTTATAATCCTTGTTATATGTTACGGTTAGAATAGCATTTTGAGATTTACTGTGTGCTACTTTCTTCGGTTATCTGGACATCTGTGTTGTTATATTTTTTATGTTTTGCTTGCATCGAATTGCGTGACTTCAAATGAAATTTCAACACCTTTGAATTCGGTCACTGTGTACACAATGTAGTGTATTCACATTGGTCTACGCTATTATATATATATATATATATATATATATATATATATATATATATATATATAGAAAATTATGCTTTCGTTCAAATTCTGGAAAAGTATGCGTTCGTTTCGGTTCTGATCTTGGATTTTTTTTATATATATAAGATACAGTATGAAGCAGTAAAAACATTAGAACAAATGACTATTAAAAATTGGCAATATATAGAACAATTCTTAGAAGATTAAAATGGTGAAAACCACTTTTGCAATCAAATTTGCTAAATATTTTACAATCTCATAATATAAAACTGAGTTAGCTTCTATGCTAGCTTCTTGATTGCTCAGAAGGGAGAAATTACCTATATCTCACCCGCTTTTTTTTTTTTTCAGCTACCTCCTTTAGCATTACCACTAAATACAGATTATAGAATAGTAGTGAAGCTATTGTAAGATTCTATAATAAATTATATGAAAATAAATTAGGAAGAAGAAGATGGTTAATAATAAAAGATAAATTTATTAATCATGGGTACAAAAGATAAAGAAAATAATGATATATTAATTCCAAAAAATGGAGTATTTTATGGTATTATCATTTAGTCGTTTATAATTGATAACCATCCTACTTTTTCCTCGTACTATTTCAAAATTTCAAATCAAATCAGTTTAGAATTTTTCTGGACAATATTACAAAGAATTGTGGACTTTTTTAGACAGTGATAATCATCATTATTTAAAATATAGTTATATTAAATTTTCATTTATTGAAAAGACAAGAAATAGATATAGATAATCTTGTCGAAGAATTTGATAATTTTTTTTTTCAGCTAGGCTCTAAGAATTTTAAAGAATTAGAATTTAACGAAGAAGAGTATTGACTATGTGCTGTTAAATTTAAAAAATTTCTTGATTCTATTGGTTGTAATTGTATAGGTTTTTCTACTGGATATCTTTTTCCCCTGGTTTTTTTTTTTTTTCAGTTTAGAATTTTTCTGGAACAAATTCAAAAACTTTATTATAAATCATTTCTACGGAAAAACACAACAAAAATCAGAGTGTGGGAATTAGAAACTTAGGATATACTTTTAATTTAAGCCAAGAAAGATTTCGATTTTATGTTCAGTTTTATATTATTAGAAAATATAAAATATACAGAAGAGAAACTAACAAGGGGAAGAATATACATATGCATAAAATAAAAGCTTTTAAGAAGACTCCTTTGTTTTTTCTGTATTTCTGATTGGGTATTCTTCTTTTGGATTTCTTTTTTTTCTTTTTAAAAAATAAAAATAAAAAACTGAAGAAAAAAAAGAACTGGGGTATATTTGGAGATTAACATTACCAAAATTTAAACTGTTTGTAGTTTATTATAGGAGTAAAAGGATTAGTAAGAAGTAGAACTGGATGTAAAGTTTTAGTAACTCTTTTTGATAAAAGATGGGGTAAAGATGTACAAAGATCATTAATATCCTTAACTGAAGTAGATTTAATTTATTTTTTTCATCTAAAGATAGTAATATACCAAGTACATCAGGAACAAATTATACAGAACCTAGCTGGAAAAAAAAACTGAAAAAAAAATACATTCTACTTTTATTTCTTTTAATAATTTTTTATTATCACATATAAAAATCAGAATAGATAAATTATTAAAAGAAATAAATAATAATTTAGATTATTTGGAGAAGAATTAGAAAAAATAAAAGCATATACAGAGGTCCATGGTAAATGTAGTTAGGATAAGTGAACAGTAAAATAGAAATGAATGGAATAATTCTTTAAATAAACAGAGAAAATTGGAATGAAACCATAAGATTCTTGCTTAAATTTATTTACTTCTTGTTGTAATGTAAATATCTATTTGAGAAGTCTCTCCCTTTCTTCAACAAGATATTCTCTCTCCTCATTAAGAGAACCTCCTTCTATGCTAACTTCTTGATTGCTCAGAAGAAAGTAAAGGAGAAATAAATTTTAAAATATTAGATTTAAATTTTATGGAAGGACAAGATAGTAATATACCAGGTACATTAGGAGGTTTTATAATTTTAATATTTTTACTTGATATATATTCAATTACATCATTTATTTTGATCTTTTTTTTTTTCAGCTAGGCTCTACATCCTATCCGTAAGGTTATGTTACTGTTCACTTATCCTAACTACATTTACCAAGGACCCTTTTTTTTTTTCAGCTAGGATACATATGCGTAAAAAAAAAGCTTGTGAAGAAGCTTTGAAATTTAATATAACTATATTTTAAATAATGATGATTATCACTGTCCTGGTCTATAATTGTTCTACTAGTTCCACGAAAAGATGAAAAAAAAAATTATCTTAATTTTTGTACTACATAGTTAATTATCTTCTCCTTTAATATGTTCAATATTAATTTTGTACCCATGATTAATAAATTTATCTTTTAATATTAACCATCTTCTTCTTCCTAATTTATTTTCATTTAATTTATTATAGAATTTTACAATAGCTAAGCGAGCTTATGTTTTCAGCAAATAAAATACTTTACATATAGATTCTTTAGATATTGAAGATAATTGTGTAATAATAGACTTTGCCCCGTCTGGTATGATTAACTGTTCACCAACCTAATGGAGCCGATAAGTGCTTTTAGATATGGTAATGGTTCAGTAAAATTTCTGAGAGAAGGATGGATAAACAGATATTTACATTACAACAAGAAGTAAATAATTTTTTTTTCCCACTCTGATTTTTGTTGTGTTTTTCCGTAGAAATGATTTGGATAAGTGAACAGTAACATAACCTTGCGATAGGATGTAACAAAATAATTTAATCATACAACTATTAGTTACATTAAACCAAAGAATAACAAATTTAAATCATTTCTACGGAAAAACACAACAAAAATCAGAGTGGGAATTAGCTGGTCTATAATTGTTCTACTAGTTCTAGGAAAAGATGTATTATTCATTTTTATAAAAGACTACAAGAAAACATTACGTATCAAAATTTACCACATTTTGATAATGTAACCATTAGGTGTAGTTTTATAATGTCCTGTCTAAAAAGAAAAATAGAAGAGATATTAAAAGCTTTTTTTTTTTTCAGCTAACATAACCTTGCGGATAGGATGTAGAGCTAGCTGAAAAAAATAAAAATAAATTCTATAATAAATTAAATGAAAATAAATTAGGAAGAAGAAGATGGTTAATATTAAAAGATAAATTTATTAATCATGGGTACAAAATTAATATTGAACATATTAAAGGAATCCAGTAGAAAAACCTATACAATTACAACCAATAGAATCTCAGCAAATAAAATACTTTTATTATAAACAGAGAAGGATTACAGAGACGAACAAATGGAGGTTTATAACTCAGAGTACTTGCACACTTCACTCGATATGTTTACAATTAAACCATCTACCTATTTATAGACTCGGAATTGAAACACGAAATTAAAATACAACAGGTAATCCTTTCTTTTCTGTTACATTATCAAAATGTGGTAAATTTTGATACATAATGTTTTCTTGATTCTTGCTTAAATTTATTTACTTCTTGTTGTAATGTAAATATCTGTTTTTTTTTCTGTTTTTTTTTTTAATTTTTCTCCTATTTCTCTATTAAATATATTTCCTACATCCTATCCGCAAGGTTATGTTACTGTTCACTTATCCTAACTACATTTACCATGGACCTTAATATTTTACGCATATGTATATTCTTCCCCTTGTTAGTTTATCTTCTGTATATTTTATATTTTCTCATATATATTCAATTA